TGAGAGCCGGCTCGCATTCCACAAGGTTGTAAATGTATCGGGTTACCATGAAACCAGGGTCTTGTTCGGCGTCCTGGGGTGTTACAAAGTATTTGTGAAATCTAGCTAACAAAATATATATTGTGTGTTGGAGTGGTCCAGACGCTACACAGGACAGCCAGGCACAAGAACAGTTTCTTCCCTCAGGCAATATACCTCATGAACAGTTAATGTTCTCCCATTGTGCAATTAAAGTACAGTATGTGCAATAACCTTATACTTATTTATCACCCTAAACCCTAGTACATCCCTACATCTTATTTTATTTTATTCTATTCCTATTCCATCTATAGCACACCTGTACATACAATTTATTCTTTTTTGTGTGTGGTTTATATTTATGCATGTGTATTTTATTCACATCTCACTTTTATTATCTGTGTGTTGTTGTTGTCTCCGTGTACTGGAAGTTTGTGACACTATAACAAATTCCTTGTATGTGCAAACATACTTGGCAATAAAGCTCTTTCTGATTCTGATATGCACACTTATGCCAAATACTACACGTGGAGTATCAGCATCTGAGGTTAGGTCTTGCCGGGTAAGAGCTTGTGCCCATGGTTCTGCTGCTGCCTAGTTAAAGTGCACAGTTGGCATCATAACTCGTGTGCCGATGCCAAGTCTTTAAAATGGCACACGCCCTAAAAAAGCTTAATTGCATCTTGCACTGTGCCCTGGTTTTCCAATCTGTTTGGCATGACAAAGGTGGCGATGGCCTTGAAGTCCCTCCTCGCATTCTTCATTTCCTCACCTTCACTCGCTCTCGATTTAGCGGCATCACTGAAAGGCCACCATGTCTGAATAGCCACATTTACATAGTAATTAAGTAGTAAGATCAAAAGTGTTTTTAATCTTCTATAGATGCACCTCAGTGCTGTTATTTGAATCTCTCAAAATTATAAGTCATTATTTTTTGTGTAGAGCAGTTTCATGTGATGTGTATGCATTTTTCATATTTCTAAACACATGACAAAGATAAGCACTGTGTTGTATACAATCTATTGTGTGGCTATGAATATGAATGAACACTCAGACTGATTAGTATGATTTTTCTTTTTGCCTCACAGACGTAATATCGAGATTTAGGAATCTGTTCAATCTAATTTTCTTTAAAATATAAAAAAATTAAATTTTCTGAAGACAGTCCTCTTTTTTTTGTTTTGCAGGAGTGTCCTCAGATCCTGCCGTCCACTCAGATCTACATCCCTGTTGGTGTCATGAAGCCCATCACCTTGTTGGCCCGCAATCTTCCACAGCCTCAGTCTGGACAGAGGAACTACGAGTGTATCTTCTATATTCAGGGAAAAGAGTACAGTGTCACTGCACTGCGTTTCAACAGCACTAGCATACAGTGTCAGAAGACCATGGTAAGTTTAAACCCTTGTTTTTTGGTGTTGTGGGTGGTTTTATTCAATGGGGATGTTTTTTCCCCCAGAGGTTGCTCTTTCATAGCTCAGGAGTTGTCATGGTGTTATCAGCTATATTTCATGTGTTATGTCACCAGCCTATATTTGTTTGCAACTTGATTGTTGGTTTGATCTAACTGGTCAACCGACAGTGGGGGAAAAAAAACATATATATACATATACATATATACACACACACACACACACACACACACACACACACACACACATATATAATGTATGTGTATATTTGTACACTACTATTTAATGTTTGGGACGAGTAGGATTATTTAAAAAATATTATTATATTAAAATATATTTTTTTATTTCATTACTTTTTTTAATCAAGGGAGCATTAAATTGATACAAATAAAGATATTTAGAATGTTTAAAAACTATTATGCTGTTCTTTTGAACTTTCTATTCATCAAAGAATGAAAAAAAGTTTAAAGGTTTCCACAGAACTATTAGGTAGCACAGCTATTTTCAACATTCATAATAAGAAATGTTTCTTGAGCAATACATTAGCATATTAGAATGATTTCTGAAGGATCATGTGACACTGACAACTGGAGTAAAGATGCTGAAAATTCAGTTTTTTATCACAGGAATAAATTACATTTTAAATACATTTAAATAGAATTTTAAGATATTAAATTGTAAGAATATTTTAAAATATTATTGTTTTTATTATATATGTGATTAAATAAATGCAGCCTTGGTGAGCATGAGACTTCTTTCAAAAATATGTTAAAAAAAAAATCTTATCAAGCCTAAACATTTGAATGACAGTGTGTATATATACACATATATATATATATATATATATATATATATATATATATATATATATATATATATAATTTATTTTTCATACATATAGCATGAGAAGTGTTTGAGTTCATATTGAGATTTCAGACTGTTGGTTGTAGACTCAGGAGACACATGAGAGTACTGGAATAGGAGACTTTAATTTAAAAGCTTTAATTTGCTCTACATTTGATTGCATTGCTGTCTAGAAGAAACAGTTGAGATGTTAATGGGATCTCATTGGGGATTTTCTTTCTATTGGAAAGAATTTCTAGCTAAACATGCTGTAGAGAGTGTCATGTGTATTTTATGATCACATGGGCCAGTGGGCCTGCGCTGCAGGCAAATGGACCGAAAGTCATTCTGACAAGCCGTGACCCCTGAAATCGTCACATCTCTGTGAGTTGTTTAAGGGCCATTATTGGTGGAAAAAACGCTAGTCCAAATAGTTGGCCATTTTCTTGCAGCACTGCTGACACAAGCCTTCCCCCTCATTACCTTTTGGCCAATCAACATTTTGTCTGGCTGTCAAAAATCCCATCAGGCACTGGGCAGGCACTGGTGGACCATTAGGCCTGATGAAACACGTGCCACTTGTTATCGTTTTAACAGACTGCTTTGCAAAGGCAGTCATTAGTGGCAGAGAGAGGAAGCTCGGGTGTTTGATGGCACTGTGACACTTCTCACCATGCCTTATTGATGGCCGTTATAGGACGCAGCCTCTTTCTCTTTTGTGACGAGATTCCTTGTGTTACTGAGGGCGAGCTAATTACACAGCTAAGAGTTTGCAGAGAGCTGTCTCGCTAAAGACTTTATCGACTGTTTGCTGTTGCTGCCGTTTCAAATCAACAGTGATTGGCGCGTCACTGATGAGAAGCTATTCCTCTGTCTCCGTTCGCTGGAAGCATCAGCCAGAGTGATGTTAACTTTAACGGTCAACCAGAGCGAAAAACAGCCGGCTGGTTAATGAACTGTTCTCTTCTAATTTTGCAAGTGAAGGTAGAAGCAATGCAGGTGCTTAAAGGGATGGTTCTTGTGTTATTCTTCACCATGCTCTTGCTCTCGCTCTGGTTGCTGTGTACGCGCGCTCTTCCGGGAGAAGTGCCCATACAAGGAATTCCCCCCTTTATGATGTCATACAGGGCCGTACTCGAAAAAAACTTTCCAAAACTTATATGAACCCTGAAGGAGTGTATTTGGCACAGAAATAATCCATCATACGTCCAACTCGTTTTTTGAAACTTTGGCCATGTTTAGCATGAGAATCCAACACTTTAGCAGTGTAAATAAGTCAGAATGCATGAAATAGCATTAGACCTCCCCTTTAAAGTTAGGGCAGAATTTTTAAATAATGACTTAAAGTTTGCTCTGTTCCTCAAATGAAGTTATCACATGACTTCAAAAACATCGAATATAGCAAATGAGTCATTTGAACAACTTTTCTGATATTTGTATGGTGCTTTTGTCTTCTTTTTGAAGCTTTTAAAAGCTTTTAACCCCTTAATTTAATGAAAAAGAGCAGTCTTACAAATCCTCCTTTGTTCTCAGAAGACTCAATTAGAAAGTCCTGTTACTTTATTAAAAATTCAGATATTGTGGTTTAAATACAAAAAGTAACATGTTAATTTACTAAAGACTTCCTAAGCTCAGTCTGATTATATAGCTGATGTTCTTTAACAACCATGAAGAGCAGTAGGTCTTCTTTATCTCAGTTGAAGCTCGAAGAAAGGTGGTTTTCCTTACTTTCTTCTGGTCATCTACCTTTTATGCCTGTGACAGAACCACACCGGGTTTGGTTCTCTGCTGCTGGGTATTCAGACAGCCTGTCACTCTTAATGAGCGCCGCAATTACAGCCGTGTTAAGATCCTACTGCAATTATACCATTAAATGCCAGCAATTATCAGTTACTTAGCGTGCAGTGATTTTAGCATGAGTGCTGTGTAGCCCTGAGTGAGAATTCCATTACCAGAAGTAGGAGCATGTATAGAATGACAGGCTTTGGCATAGATCAAGAGTCACACTTGTTTTAGTCATTCACAGCATCACTCCTTACAGATTAAATGACTGTTCATCAATAGGCTCCGGCTGAATCGGTCCCGGAACATTCCAAGGACTTCCGTGTGTGAACGGTTTGGCTGAGGTGCCAGACTGCAGGTCGGATGTGAATCACCCGCCAAATCCCCAGCAGTTCTTTTCATTCACGCCGCAGAAACTTTTCCATCTGAATGATTAATAATGATGCTGGCTAACAGTTCTGTTGAGGGATTTGAACGGTTTGCTTTGCCATAACAGTACTGTTTCTGAGAAATTCAATTTTAAGGTTACTTTTTGCTAAAATTTAACTAACGTGAATTTACATCATACTATCTAAGTTGTTTCATTTCAAAAAGTGTGTGAATATTGAAGACATATTTAAAAATGTGTGAATATATGTGCATTAGATAAAACATCAAAATTATGCTAGAGCTTTGAATTATGTTCCCTTTCTTGAGCCATTTTTTAAAGTAATTAAAAAAAAAAATTCAAGATTTTGTTTATTTATGAAGTAATTTCCTTGTAGGTGTAAGTTTAATGCCCACATGCTTGTTGAACACTATTGTTTAATTATTTAAACATCTTTTGGGGAAATGTGTTGCCACTATTTATGCTTCAAAAAGTGTTTGAGCATTGAAGACACACACACACACACACACAAAGCCGGGATGTCAATGCATTACATAACAAAAATATTAAAATCATGCTAGTCATTTGAACTATATTCACTTTTTTATCCATTTTTTTAAAGAAATGTAACAATAGGTCAAGATTATTTTACTTATTTTTGTAAATTTATCAAGTCATTTCCTCATAGGTTCAAGTTTAATAGCCTGTGAGTGTCCAAATTCTTGTTGAAAACTAATGATAAAAAAGCACATTGCTACAATATCACAGTGTCCCCCCCCC